CCTTTATGTTGGTTTATATCTATCACAGAGTTAGAGAGTTCTCATCTTGGGATTCCACTTCAAAGACAAAGGTTTTGGGAAAATTTTTATTCCACCACAACAGAGAGGATGCAATAGCATGGAAGACAAGCATTGGCAATGTATCCAAGCTAGTCGCAGAAAATACCCTGCACTTTCTTCAGCACGTTTGGGATGCATTTGAATCCCCCCAGTTTCTGTAACTGCACTGGAAGTCGTGAATCACATCTTACTGAATGTAAGGAAGCCAAATGAAGTAGGACCACTGCCCCAGTAGGAGGAAGAATAGGTAATATCAGTAGGTGGAGTCTGAAGAACAAGCAGCAGCACATGAACCTGTGGGTGGGAACCACTGTCCTAGCCACTCTCATGGAGGATGATGTGATCTGCGCATGCTTCATACTCTGAGACTGAGCCATGCGCATGCTGTTTTAATGGGGGAGATTGTGTCATGAGAACAGATGTTTCCTAAGGCTTTTGAAAAAGCACAATGAAAACAAAAACCCCAGCAGACCCAGATTTCATCCCTTAGAAATGAGAATAAAGTCTATATTTTTTTTTTCTGATGACAGCTAGTCATTATCTGGAAAGAAGCTTGGGTTTTGTTTGGGGTTGGTTTTTTTTGTTAGCATACAATACTTTCTTTTCATGTGAAACTGATGAATTATTTTCTGATTATTCTACTGCTCTGGCTGCCTGGCTATGAACACAATTGTCTGTATTTATTGCATAAACATACTGGTTTGAGTCTGAATGTTACTTTAAGGGTTAATCATCAGGATTCAGTTATTGAGGAAGGTTTCAGCTCAGGTAATTTTAACTTAGACTAGAGACCTGCTTTTTAAATTACTTCTTATCTAGACCTTTCTGTAGTCAATAACAAGAGACAAGTTTCTCCAGCTGTAAAGTCATCCCAAAGTGAAATGGAGCTAAACTGCACTCTGTAGGTTGCTAACTTCCCACTGATTATAAAAAGGGATCTTAAAGAGTAATCTGAGATGAGACATTTAATTTTTTGAACAGCTGAAGACAGATCAGATTAATTCTAGCTCATTAAACCAAGATGCTCAAGGAACAGTATTGGGACAACAGTTTGTTTCCGAACTGACACTTATCAATGGGGAAATTTGAGAAACTCCCTAGAAAGAGAATTTGGGAATGCTTTTGGTTTATATTATCTACCTTGAACTCTACCCCACACACACACACACAAATATTTTGATCTGTTTTGTTATACGAGGATATCAAATCTTGATCACTCCTATTCTTGTATAGCTCTGTGGCGAAGATTTCTGCATATATTGCCTATATTTCTATCCTATATTTAAAAAAAAACCACAATATTAATATTTTGGATACTTTGCACCATCCACTGACCCTTTTCCTGCTGGTCTCTGTGGATTTTCCTGATCTCTATGGAATCTTGCCATGAACTTTATGCCTCCTTGTCTCTTGGTAACGAAGGCAGTTATTATAGGAGTTTTAGGAGGCAAAATTTGAGAGATCTGGATATGTACTTTGAAGGACTAAGCCAGTTTCTGGAGAGAGTCAGAGGCTGTATGTAATGACAATTATATTCTTCTAATATAATATTAAACTGCTTTATATAAACAATAGCAGTCTTCTGTCTCACCTGTTTTTCTGCTTCTTCGTCTTTCAGGTTCTCTGCCTTAAACATATTCTCCTCTTGAGAAATTCTCTGTAGTGTCACTAAACCAAATCTTGTGGCATTCAATGCATTGATTGAAGACAATGTGCAGTGTGTGACCACTTCTTACCTTTCAGGAAATCACCTCATCATCTGAAATCATCTGAGTTTCACTGCTAAATTTCATCCTTCTAGGAGCTTCTTTCTCTTCCTGGAAGGTCTCTCCAGAATCTCTTGAACCAAGAGGTTCAATCTTGAAATCAACGAATAGGTGGACTACAATCTCCCCTTTCATGTGAGATTCATCTCTAATTGGTGACCTGTTAATACCCCCCCCAGGAAAAGCTAATCTCCACAAGCCTGTTGTACATACATTTTTTTCAGACCTAGGAAAAAAAGTCTTCATTTTATTATCATTGAATAGATCTACTCATCCTAAAACTGCTTCAGTTTCTTCTTCCTTGTAGCTAATTACATAGTCTCATTCAGTCTACAAAGATGACCACCATGCCAGGCATGCTTAATTGCTCTGTTTATTTTTCTTCACACTGAAGACCTCACTGTCTCTAATGTCTTCATGCCCATTTGATGCATTTCTTTGCATTAAAATCATTTGCAGTGGTGTGCCATGATTCCAGATTCTTCTTGATCATCCTTTTTAAAACTAATTCCTTCTTCAAACTTTTGTTTTATTCCTATTGAGACACAAGAATTTCTTTTTTCCAAAAAAACCCACACACAACTCATTCAGTTGGCTTTTACTTACTCATCTTCATTTTTCATACCTTTTCAAAACTTGCTCATTAGCTGTTGTCTTATCCTATATATATCTTTCCTACATATGGTAGCTGAGTGCTTAAAGAATCCAAATTTCACAGAAATGCCATGGAGTTAAGACCTCTGTCTTGTAACGCAGTACGGCTCTCAAACATGGCCTCTGAAAGTATAGAGCAGTGATAATGATGCAGAAAAAAGCTCACAGGATTCTCCCTATCCTAGTACAACACAATCCACTTGTTGACCCTGCACTCAACATCAGTTCAGCCTTTAGAGTGCTTTGGTGGATCAATCAACCCAAAAACTATCACTATGGAAACCATTTTTTAAACAAGAGGTTAAAACTGAACTTCAGACTGCCCTACACATTCTGTGGTGACTAATTTGCCACAGGTGTCAAAAAGTAACGTCTCGTATTTTTCTACAAAGAAAGAAGTAGTCCCTGATTTTTGCTCCTTATGTTTGTCTGTACTTTGTGTATCTTCTCTCCGTGCCATGATTTCCTCAAGAAATGGCATTAGGGCAAAATCTGAGTAATTTTGATACCATTCACTTAGACTGTTCTAATTCTTCACTCAAATCCATACTTTTATCTCCTCATGTCATTGACTTCAGTTCTGGCAATGCTGCTATTTCAGAACTAGCTATGTGTCTCCATGCTCACACAAGTCCTTCTTAGTTGCTACATCTGTGCTTGCACACAAATACGCATTTTGTATATATAATGAAAAGGCAAGTGTCTGAATTTATTATGCTGCAGAAATTGCATCCACAAGTATTGTCATGTTGTCAACCAGAAAATTCAGAAGGCCAGAAAAAAGGCCCTAGTAGTTCATATTAAAAACAAACAAACAAAACAAACAAGACTTCAACTGCTGTGATCTTCAATGTTTCAGATCAGGTAGGAACTTTACATGCTGTAAACTGCAATATTCCTACTAGAGTCAGCAGTCTTTTGAAAGTTGCAAAGTCATCATATGTGTCTTTAAATCTTTCTTGCCTTTATCATATTAAGAGGAATGTCCTAAGAATTACCACTGTGGTTCTGCCACAGACAGAGCTCTGAGATAGAGATAGATCCTTCATTCAAAGAGGTGCATCAGTGACACCAGAGATGCTAGAACACACAAATAATCCATGTCACCAAGACAAATGCTTAAACAGAGAGTAAGTAGTTCTGTGAGACTCTTCACTTGCAAGGTCTGCACACAAGTCTCCCTCTTCGTCCTCTACGTCCTTGCATGGTGGACCCTCTCCATGCTTGCCTCTCCTGCCAGCACGTTTAGTGGCTTCAGCTGAGCTTACTGCACAGGTTCCTCTTTGCATACCTATGAAATCTCTTTCTTCTGGTCACCACTGCTGTTCATCCTGCTCTGCTCCCATCTGTGGCTCTCAGAAACCTGATAGCTGCAGTGGCTTCTTCTGTCCCCCACTCAACCTGCCTGACCTGGTGTCCCACACAAATGTGCTTCTTGACCATGTGTGCACTTTTCACCTCTCCTCAGAGCTGTCTCACATGGCAATGTCCAGGAATGGGTTAAAAGGTAGGCTTTCTTCCCATGGCTTAGTCCCACATTTTAGAATAGGATAGTTCAGTTAGAAGGGACCTACAATGGTCATCTAGTCCATTTGTTAACAAATGTGCAATTTAAAAATGTTTAAGCAGCAAAGTGAACAAGTAAATAAAATATTTATACCATCTATCACCTATGAAGTGTTCAGAGCATATTTAATTTGGTACACGCACTAGCGAACTCTAGCTAATTCCTTTTATGTTGCTCTTGTCAGTGGCATTAGTAATTGCCTTTAAGACTATTACAGTCATCAGGCTGTCAGAAAGGTTACTGATGCTGGTAGATGCAATTCTAGCTATATGTTGTCACTGAAGGAGAAATGTCTTTAGTCAGTAAATCTGTAAGAGGACAGTGCAAGAAATCATCAGAGGAACAAAACATGTCACTTTGCTACAATTCCTATAGGTCACCTCAATTTCTAGTGTAGTGATAGATGACCGGAAGTGAATGGTGGAGGCAACTGAGTAGCTTGCCCTACCGTGTGCCTAGTAATTGCTTGGCAATGCCTTTCCAGTGTTTTGCTGATAATTGATTTGGTCCACAGCATGTCTGACTTTCTTTTACTCCTGGCTATGCACATGAGTTATTCATTTAATAGCCTTCCACAGACCCAGCAGTTAAAGAAAGCACTGAACAGGAAAGGCTTATCCTTATCATTAGAAAATATTAACTACCTAAGTAGTGGTGTTTCCCTTTCTAATAATAAATCTAATGCTACAGACATGCTATGGGAGCTGAAGTGATACATTTCTAGAGAGACCTTCTGGTAACATTTTCAACATTGATACAAATATGCTTATGAAAAGCAGTTAATTATCTGTGGAGCTTAGCTGTTGCTTACAAAGACATTGATGTATTATGGTAGCCCTAGCAGTGTCCTTGTATACAAAACATGTATTTAGCCAATTATGTACTTAACGCATAATGAAAACAAGTTAAAAGTGTACAAAGGAGGAAAATGATTACTTTTGCTTATTTTGTAGCCAAAAGCTGGGTCTCTTGGATCGGGTTCGTGGTACCAATACTAAAGGAAAGCTATTTACCCCTCTGAATGTAGATGCCATTGAAGAAAGTCCTTCAAAAGAGCCTAAGAATGTTGTCTTGAATAATAAGGAGCGTTTTCGCACTGCATTCCGAATGAAAGCGTACGCTTTTTGGCAGAGCTCAGAAGGTAGCCCATCTGTATTGATTTATTTCTATCCATCCCTTATTCTCCCCATTTTCTTTGTTCCTCTGCATCTTCTGTTGAAGGTTTGTGACTTTCTGGGCCAAGCATGGCTGGTCCTTGATTTTATGTGACACATCTGGGGAAGCTCCAGGAAATGAATGCTGGGGTCTGGGCAACACAGTGCTTGAAATAAGTCAATGGACTTTCATAAAAACAGAAATTTATATGGGATAAAGCCAGTTGTGGAATCAACCTATTTGACCTGGGAAAAGAGAGCACACTGGGCAGTGAATTGAAATCTTAAAAAATGCACACACCATCATGGCTTGATTTGTCAGTAAGGATGCTATGCTGAGGTAGCTCTCTCCTAGACCACATCCAGCCCTGTACTAGCCTGTGCCCAGGCATCTCAAATCTCTCTTCACTGTAATCTCTTAAAATCTCATTTTATAGTCAACTGCTGCTTCCCTCTCACTCTCCCTAAGACTGCTGCCCCTCAGTAGGTTTCCTTTGGGTGTCCATGCAACATCATAAAGTGTTTTTCCTCTCAGCTTCCCCAGGCAGACATTTTCCTCTTGTTGCCTACGGTGCTTAAATGGTCCCTAATTAACAGTTTCTCCTTTATTGTGCCAGTTGGCATCGCTGCAGTGCGTGCTGGGCATACTACTGTGGAGGTAGTATGGGTGTCCACACCAGGAACTTGCTTATTCTCTTCCATGAAGTTACATGAGCTCTAAGCAGTGCAAGCGGGAGGAGAACTTGGCCTGTAGCTTGTACACCTGTTTTAACCTTATGTAAAAATAAAAAATTTGACAAAGGTTTTTCATTGTAAAAGCTCCGAGGAGTGAGAATTTCAAAATCCATTGAAAAGGAAGAAAAGTTCCCAATGTTTCAGAAATGCTGGAATCTGAGAGGAGATCCCTCAAGTGATGTGTCTTACAGCTGTCCCAGAAGAATTATGAAATCCCTCTCAAGAGCTGACCAGAGAAAGAGGAACCTGCAGGAGATGTTCCTTTACTAAATGACACTTACTTTATGTAGTGCTTGTCAGCCAAACTTCCCTCTAAATATGGTGTGGTCAGGTGTTCACACAGCTTTTTTTTGACCTGCTTTGCAGATGCAGGAACAGGGGAACCCATGGCAGAAGAGAGAGGTGACAGTAGCGACTTCCTTATGGAAGATATGATCCCCACATTCAAGACAGCCATCCGAGCTGTCAGGTAAATGTCTCTGATGCTCCTCAAGCCTTTGCTTTGACTTTGAATGCTTATGCTTCAGGAAATCACATTACTGCATTGCTACATGTTGATTCATTGTTGCTGTTATTACTTTTTTTAAAATGTAATGGATTAGGTAATTCTAGATATGTTGAAGAGCACAAGACAGGCCCTATTTAAGTCCTCTTTTAAAATATGCAGAAAGGAAAATGTTTTTCAGTAACATTGTCCATTCCGTTTTTGCAAGATATTCCATATATCTGTTACAAGAAAAAGCATTGTATACAGATCCTCATTAAAATATGCTATAAATATAGTACCTTGCTCTATTTAGTGCTGCAGTATTTATGTAAAATGGGATTTTTTGCTTGAAAATGAAGTCTGAGCTGATTCAACTCTTTTTTTATTCACAGTTGTATGAGTGTGCAATATACTTTTCAGCTGTCATATTTTAATAGATGCTGAGGTTTCCATTTCAGCATTTGTCAGCTTAAGACACGTGTCACCTCTGTTTTCGTATCACAAGAGATATTCCCCAGGGCTAGAAAACTCCTAGTAAGGCTTAATAATGTGTTTAGCACATCAAGCACACAGAATTCATTCACTGATGCTCTGTTACTTCTCCAATCAGCATTTTTTACTTTCTTCCCTTGAGAAATGCCCCTATAGGAAAATACTCTTCTTTCATTGTAATTGCTTTTTATTCCAGAAGTTAAGTTTTGTGCAAGGGAGTTACTACCTTCCAGGTGAAATACTGCAGATCTGAAGTGGCCCAAAGTTATCTTCTTAGAAAAGCTTCAAGGAAGATGGTTATAGGTGTATACCTATATGTATATAACCATAATATATATTCTCCTGGTTCTTTCCCCATTGGATACTGGAGAACCAGTCATTAAAAATTCCAAGTTTTCTCAAGCCTGCTGAAAGCCATGTCCCACAGGCTTTGCTCACATTACCCATGACTGCTTCCCTCCTGATAGAAGTTTCTTCATCCCTGCTTCCTCCACAGTTTTCCCTTTCTTTGCCAGATAATTCCTTGCTTTCAAACACAGACTGTGCATCTGTCCTGCTTTCCAGCCGCACCTCCATTAGACATGCTATTATTACTTTTGCAAATCTTCGTTTGCCACATCCTGTGCAAATCTAATTGATTCATGCAATTTCCCTTTAAACTCAATCATGAGCCAAGCTTTTAGGTTTGTTTTTTTCCTTCTCTTGTATAGTTTACCCAGACCCTGAATGCTAATGAGAAGAAATCCATTCAGACAAAACCACTTAATGGGTTTTTCAAGGTCATGATCAAGGAGATTTGAAATTGAAACAGCTGACAGTGTGATTCCTATTTTTTATTTCTGCTTTTTTAAAGTGTAATTTTGTTATTATCATATGTAGTTTGGCCGTAATAGACATAGGTGGAATTTTGAAATCTTGAAAGATTTATAAACAAAAGAGGTAAAGAGTTGGAAACACTTAAAAAGTTACAATAGCATTATATTTGCTAGATGAAATTTTATACAGACTTTAAAAGGGTTAAAAAAATTCGCCAGCCTTGAATAAAAACCATGACAGAATCTTAAAAGAGAACAGCAGTTCCCCAATTCACACCAATAAGAAGATGGAGACTCTACTGAGAAAGAAAAGTCTTGGATCCTAAGCCTAAGACAAGATAAAGAAATGAAATAGGTTTCATTAGTCACATATGTTTCTATTTGATTTTACATTTGTTGTCTGTTTGTTTAATCTGCCACAATATAACAGTGTAAACTAGTGTAGAAACAAAAAAAGAATGAAAAAAATAACACTAAACAGTTTTCAGGTGCTCTGGCCAGCACTGGTACTTATCATAAGTATTCTGTTATTAATTATTAGTACATTTTATAATAAGAGCAATAATAATAGCAAGTCTATTATTATTAATACTATAACAACAACAATAATGCTATACTGCTGTTTTTTAAAGGACACTTCAGGCAGTTCTTACACTTTTTATTTTCTCCACAACTTGGGCTGCTGCTGGCTTCTTAACTTCCACCTTGCTATCTAATTAACATTTCCTATCCAAAACTTGCCCAGGTGCAAAATAAAAACCAAGCTGAAAATGATTCAGCATTTTATCTATATTATAAACTAGCTTTATAATAGGCTGAAGTATAAAAAAACAGCTTCAGTTTCACAGTTTCAAAATCTCCCATGACTTGTGTTGTTCAAAATCAAATTCCACATATGATTTTGTAGCTTTGAACCATTTCTGGTTATGATGATAGCGCTGAAAAAGACATTTTGCATGTATCATTTGTGTTAGACTATTAGTTATAAAGAGCCATCTATTATATATTTACAAATGTGGTATGATATTTGACATTCTCTGCTTATGGTTTATTGCCATGTTTTGAAATAACATGCTCAATTTCCAAACATCCAGAGTATTTATCAATTATTTGATAAAACTGCAAATTATCATTATGGAATTTATGTAAGAAATCAGTAATTTTTGTGTTTATTATACAGAATACTACAGTTTCGTCTCTACAAAAAAAAATTCAAGGAGACTTTGAGGCCTTATGATGTAAAGGATGTGATAGAGCAATACTCAGCAGGGCATCTTGATATGCTTTCCAGAATAAAATATCTTCAGGCAAGGTAAGAATGGTAAATGGGGAAAATGTATAGCTGTGCTTGCTAAATAAAAGCATAATTGGCTTATTTGCGTACAAGGCCACCGAGAAGCTATGTCTTTACATAACATAGCTGGTCAATAAGAAAGCCTTTTCCCCAAATAATAAAGTTAAGTGAGCAGCTACCAGGGGTAACTGCAGCAGAAGGGACCACTGGCTCATATCTATAATGAGGAAATTTGAGTTAAAAAATCCTGTGAATTTTCTTGACCATTGTCTTATTTGATTAGGGTCAAGTTTGTCCCCTTTTTTCCCTTTTTAAAGATGATAAATAAAAGCAGTAGTTGCTTTACATTTTCTTTGTGCTGGATTTTCACTTCTCAGATGATACTCACTTGAGTCCCAGCAGCAGTAAAGGTGCCTGACATGATTAGGCCAATCTCAGACAGTGCTTATGGCAGGGTTTTGTTGGATGAAGACACATCCCAGGTGAGTCAGGGCAAGAATCACAGCACAACCTCAGCCCTGCAATGTTCAGAGACATGAGTCCTGCTCGTTGTGTCTATGAATAGCAAAATGCCATAGGAGTTTGATAAGACATTGACTACTGGGTCAGCAATGCTTGTAAATATCTAGCTAGCTTTGTGAGGTTTGCTTTGAGCTTTTTTAAGTTCCATTTGCAAAACTTCATGGAGCACCATGAAGCCATGCAATGTACTTGCATGGATGGTCTGATAATACAGATAACTGCTCTGTGGACTAGTGCTGACTGATATCTGATCAGTTTGGTGTGTAGGCTGAATGAGCAGAGGTTTGCTTCCACCTGAGCAGCTGGATATGCCAAATGAAAAACTATATTGATGCAGCAGAAGTGTGTAATTAAGTATACTGGGGCCTCCCAAACAATCCTTTTGGTTTTCTTTCAAATAAAAAAATCTAGTAGGATTCCTTGTGAAACTTCATTAATAGTTATATTTTTCGAACCAAAAGAATAACTATTAAAGAAAAAATAATACTGATAATTAGGCACTAAAACGGTTAGAAAGTCATTCATTTATTAAGAGTATGAAGAATTGCTACCTTTCACCAAATTCTTATTTTCACTATCCAGCACAAAAACTGATGAGTCTCTTCTGATAATTTTAAGAGAAGCCATTATTGGAGTTTTTTTTATAATCACGCTATTTAGTTCCTTTGAAGGAAATGTAGTCATGTGTTTCAAATGTCAATGTTTGGAAACAGTGAGATAGATAATTATTTAACTACCATGAAATTACCAGGTAATTACAATCCAACGTATTGAATGTGGAGCCAGAACAGAACAAACATGTTTTGACCCTCAATATGTTACCAAATCAAAATGTTCTTCCTTTTTTGAATCTTTGCTACTGTTTGCTGCAGAGATGCATAGCATTTTCTATCATGTGTTAGAATTCAGAGATGGACTTATGCAGTTGTACTTTTCTTTTTTTTTCAGAGTAGATATGATTTTTACACCTGGACCTCCATCTACTCCCAAGCATAAGAAATCCCAAAAGGGAGGAGCTTTTTCTTACCCTTCACAACAGTCTCCCAGGTGAATTTTTTATGCTTAGTATTTTGCACAGACCAAAACATTAAAAAAAACTTCACTCATACCAATAAGGATGCCCTTCATTCATCCATCCAGTACATTGTTATAGCAATGATACTGAGAGGACATTACGCTACAAGGTACATACGTGTAAATGTTAAGCCAGAAAGACACTAGCTTCCCTAAGAACAACCTATGAGAGAAATCTAAACTTAATGGTTTCTTAATTGTCTAACTCATCTTCTCCATGGTTTGGAAATGTGATTTTATGTGAAATACGTGTATTTGATTGTTGATGTGCTGAATTTCTAACATTCAACTAGTAAACCCACTTAAAAACTCAATAGAAGTCATCAAGAGTTTGAAGGTAAACCATTTCTTCTTCCTGAAGTGAAAAATGTTTTGTTATAGCCCCCACCAAATGCCAAGCACAGAGTTTTAATGACACTGCTTTTAAATCAATGATTGGTGAGAATTACTGAAAATAAATTGCAATACCAGGTTTCTGGGTGTGAAAGTTACTGCATGTTACTGTACTGCTGCATTCCTGGTAGCAAGAATTCAGTAATAAATGGCATTTCTTCTGTTATTTACAACTATCAGTCTGTCAATAAATACCCATGAAGAACCACACAAGACCATTAACAATCTGTTCCCAAAGCTGTTATGGTTGCTCAGAACAAAAGTAATCTTACAGAAAATGTATTAACTTGGCTCTATCTGGTTTATCCCACCCAGAGAAAATCTAAAAACGTGTAAGTGTGAAAACAGAGACCTACATATATAGAAGAGGCAATGATCATTTAGGAAACAGAGCAGATTGCAAAATTTGAATGAGCCCATATCATCAGTAACCCAATGTGCAAAATCTGACATGTTTTAGTTATATTTTCTGCTTTAGTAAGATATATTCAGATTTTGTCAGAAAGAGAAGAACTGGACCTGTTAAAACAAATGTTTTGGGGTGTATTTGTTCTGAGTCATGTTAAAGAACAGTTGTTTAGAATTGATGTTTAACAAGGCCAAATGCTGGGTCCTGAACTTTGATCACAACAACCTCATGCAATGCAGCAGGCTTGGGGGAGAGTAGCTGGAAAGCTTCAAGACAGAAAAGGACCTGAGGGTGCTGGTTGACAACCAGCTGAACATGAGCCAGCAGTGTGCACAGGTGTCAAAATGGCCAACAGCATCCTGGTTTGTATCAGAAATAGTGTGGCCAGCAGGAGTAGGAGTAGGGTAGTCATGTCCCTGTACTAAGCACTGGTGAGGCTACATCTTGAACACTGTGTTCAGTTTTGGGCCCCTCGCTACAAAAAGGACATTTAGATGCTGGAGTGTGTCCAGAAGGGCAATGAAGCTGGTGAAAGGTCTGTAGAACAAGCTTTATGAGGAGCAGCTGAGGGAGATGGGGCTGTTTAGTTTGGAGAAAAGGAGACTGAAGGGAGACCTTATCACCCTCTACAGCTCCCTGAAAGGAGGTTGTAGGAAGATGGGTGGTGTTCTCTTCTTCCAGGTAACCAGTAACAGGATGAGAGGAAATGACCTCAAGTTGCGCCAGGGAATGGTTAGATTGGATGGTTAGGGATCAAGCACTGGACCAGACTGCCCAAAGAAGTGGTGGAGTCACCATCCCTGGAGGTGTTCAAAAAACGTGTAGATGTGACACTTCAGGATGTGGTGTAGTGGACATGGTGGTGTTGGGTTGACGGTTGGACCTGATGATCTTAGAGGTCTTTTCTAACCTTGATAATTCTGTGATTCTATACATTCCTTTGAGGTTGGTTTGGAAATCTTTTGATAAAGATTTAACTTGCTAATGACCATCCTCAATCCCATGAAGTCTTAAATAAAAGTTGTTTATCTAAGGAGAGATCATCCTCTTACCTCCTGAAGTTAGTCCATCTGATGGATGGGCAGTAGGACATTACATAGAAGAGAAATTATTTAAATTTCCTGGCCAGACTGTCTCTTTTCAGTATTTCCAGTCTCTGTCACTTAATATTTGGTTTAATGAAATTGAGGAAAAAAAACCCACTCAGCCTTGAAACTCAGATTCAGTCCTCAAAGACACTAAATATAAAGGATTTAAAAACACTTGGACGTCTGTAAATGCACTATCTAGACTATCTCAACATTTTTCACAAACCTGAAATTATTCCACCAAGTCTGACATTAATTTCACTTTCATTTTGAACTTTCTGTTTGTTTTTGCTTTTTCTTAATCTTCATTTTGAACCAAAATAATTTTAAATTAAAAAGAAGGAATATATTTTTTAGACATGCATTGGAATCACATGGAACAGACTTTTTCTCCTGTTCGTATGGTAAATAACTGCATTCAGTCTTTTCTTTAATGGGTATCCAAGGAGCTATATGAATATACCTCCAAAATTGTAATTCTGTTTTCTGATATGTATTACTTACTGTGATGCAAAAAAAATTGAACACTAACAGGGTTATTGATTCTTTATAGAAATGATCCATATGTAGCCAAAGCATCTACAGCAGATACTGAAGACCAAAGTATGATGGGCAAATTTGTCAAAGTTGAACGACAGGTATGTAATTTCATAACAATGATAGGGGCTGAGGCGCTTGCACAGAATTGATAAATCTGAGAACTGTTTGAGTCTTTGGCTGACCCAGACAGATTTGTACTTTTGGTGATCAAAATTCCTACAGATCTTGTACTAATGATCACAAACCTATGTTGTTAGTTTTTAATGAAAGAATTTAATTAAGTGGGAAGTGTGCATTTTGAAATCTGTTGAGTGGATATCATTATATATGGCAGCAAGACCCTAAACATGATGTTTAGATGGGACTTTTTCATTCCCTTAGACTCCATACTCATCATGTCTGGTGTTTTGCTCTGAGCACCACCTTCTTTTGCAGAGTCTGGCACTTAAAAGGATTGCCTCCACAGGTATTTCTGGGCACTCTTTGTGCATCCTAATGTGTTGCTTCGCAATTCAAGACACTCATTTTTAAATACACAGCTGAGTAAGATGGAGGCAAGTGGCACTGATTCACATCAGTTCCTTTTATGGAACGTAGAAGTTCAAGCACAAAGTATTATCAAAGGAGAAATACTGATATTTAACCCTGATGTTGTGGGACTATTAAGAGTTAGAGAATAAATCTGTGTGCAAGGATAATTCCATCTGTTGTATTTTGATAATAGCTATTTAAAAGATGGTGTCAAGACTTTGGTCATAACGTTGTAGACTGGTATTGGATGCTGGACTGTGAGGTATCCAGCAATGATAAAAATTTTTTGGTATGGTTCATAGGGATGGATCTTCTATCATGACCAATAAAGATGGCAGCACACCATTGCTGGGGGCAGTGCAACTGTAGGAGCATTTGCTCTCACTGAATAACTGGCTTGAGACAATATCATAACATTGGTATTTTTCAGGTTAATGACATGGGGAAGAAACTGGATTTTCTTGTTGATATGCATATGCATCATATGGAACAGCTACAAATACAAGTCGCTGAGATAAGTCCATTGAAAGAAACTGCTTCTCCTGCAAAGGAGAAGAGAGAAGAAAACAAATATTCTGAATTAAAAACAATAATATATAAATACACTGAGCAGTGTGCTCGTGAAACTCCTTACAACTTCCAGCATGTTCCGGTCAACAAAGTCAGTCCTTATGGTTTCTCAGCACATGGTCATATGACTCATTCACAACATTTATCAATAGGTGGGCAAAACTCTGGCAAACTGCAGGCCACACCTTCCTCAACTTCACATGCAGAAAGGCCAACAGTTTTGCCTATATTTACATTAATGGACTCCCAGGTTAGCTACCACTCTCAAGGAGATCTACAAAGCCCTTACTCAGATAAAGTGTCACCAAGACAGAGAAGGAGCTTAACAAGAGACAGCGATACCCCATTATCCCTTCTCTCCGTCAACCATGAGGAACTTGAGCGCTCCCCAAGTGGCTTCAGTATCTCCCAAGAGAGAGACGACTTCCCCTTTGGCCCCAATGGGGGATCAGCGTGGATGAGAGAGAAACGCTACCTAGCAGAAGGGGAAACGGACACAGACACCGACCCTTTTACACCAAGTGGCTCCATGCCTTTGTCTTCTACAGGAGATGGGATTTCAGATTCAATATGGACCCCTTCAAATAAGCCAGTTTAAAAGTGTGTGTGGGGGCAGTCACTGGTTGACTTCTCCATGTAATGTAAGCATACTTTGTATATCTCACTTACTCTACACCCAAAGCTTACTAGTTCAAAACACCAATGGCTGCATAAGATGCATGTGATATTAGTGGTAGTCATTCTGCACCATTTCATACAATTTACTAATGCAGTTTTTTCATGCTGCCAAAACTAAGAGGCTTAGTTTTGAGCATGGTTTGCATGACTTTACCCTATATAAATGGTACAGCTGATTTCTTCTATGATACATATCTATCTGATACTCTTCAATACAACAATGGTGAATTGGTAACAGGCGAGATACAGTGGTCCTTGCTACATATTGTAAACAGAGCCGCAAAGTAAAAATATTTTCAGGAGCTATATATCTTTGTGGGAACATAAAGTCTGAATCCGTTTTCCAGTATAAGTAAATCAATCTCTAGCCAGCCTAACCAAGAACATCTAATATTCAAAGCAGGGAAAAAGCTGAGTCAAAGTAAATAACATTACTGAAATGGTTTTGTGAACGAAATGTTTCTCTTGTGATATATTATACAACTACCCATGAAATACAATGTCGAAATGAAATCAGGGTAGAACTTAAAAATATCAAAGCTGCCTCCTGGGACTGGTCATGGTTAATTATTTATTGCAAAGTGTAAATATAAATCCTTCAAACGACTTTGAAAATCTCCACTGCTGTTTATAAAATTGCTCGAAGCGTGACGACAGTGCTATTATGTAGAACATCTTTCGCTCAGCCCATTTGTTACTTATGGGGCCAAATTTTCTTCCTGTTTCAAAAATAAGATTTTCAAGCGTAGAGAACTCCAGGTTTATACACTCCACTCTTTTACTGACTTATGTGATGCTAAGTAAGCTGCATAGTGTTACTGTGCTACAGTTTCTGAGGTGTTAATTGAGAGTCATACATCCATACCTGTATGCAGGTTGTAAGGCTCAATTCACTCATTTGCCAAATGTTTTGAGCTCCTCAGATGTGCAGAGTATCGATCGCTATTGTGTTCCCTGGGAGTTCCACAATGTGGGATGCTGCCAGGATATGCTTCTCTCTGTTTACTGTTTCTCTTGAAAATGGACTGCTCAAAATCCATGAACGTGTGCCATATTTAAGATAAATGTACAAATAAATATCATTTTTTGTGACTTGTCCCTGAGAAACAGAGGGATAAGTATGCTCCCTAGGCCTCAGCGAAATATTTTTTTCATGGAAATTGGAAATACGTTGAGGGAGAGCAGGAAAACAATCCTACCCACTGGGAACAGGGCAGAAATGAATCAAAGATCTCACCACTAGAGTGGGAATGTAATATCTATACAGCTCGTAAAACTGGCCTGTCCAAATATCCTCTGCAGGATTCATCTAATGTCAGTCCAGGTTTCCATGAAATACTGTCCATGTGATGTCAAGTTCAATGGCTATGCCCTCTTTACAGCTGATGGTAAACTGATCAGTACAGTCAGAGAGCACAGGGTACAAGAACCAAAGCACACATCAGCTTTAGGATGAGATTAATCTCATCTTTAACTGAGTTATCTACAATGGCCAAATTTCTGCTGACTTCAAGGGGAGCAGAGGGTGACTTGCTTAGATGTCAGATGATCGGAGACACAGTCAGGGGGAAGGCTCCCACCCCTACCCCACTGATCCAAGGTACAGACTCTGCCATGGCTCATGCCCACTTCCTGTTAAGGTTGACCCCTGTCTCTCCACACAGTGACTTCACCACCATGGCTAGAGCACTTACTAATGAAGATACAAGGATTTGTCCCATATGAGATGTTAGAAAGTGGATTTTCCGTAGTGACTGCTTGTGTTGCACTGCAGCTGCACAACTGAGCATCCAGTCAGAGCGCAAGAAAGAGACACGCTTTACTGGGCTTCCCCCCTGTAACTGGGTATGGAACAGGCCTAAATAGAGTGTGCTTCAATGGAAGGTACCTTGTTGGGTTTTGCCAACCGTAGTAAACTTCATGTTTGATTCCTCAATATCATTGACATAATAGTCATTCCATCCAAGGAGCTTCTAGTCTTTTCCAGATGTAGCCATTGCCTTCATCTTCATTGTTTATTCTCTATTTAAAGATATATCTAAAGGATTAGGGTCTTACTTCATCTGCTGCTTCAGCTAAATTGCGATACATCCTTCTAGGACAGATCTTAAGGGAGAACAGATTGCTGCAGTTACTCGAGTAAACAATGCAGACCAGTTACAGCCTTTGAAGACTGGGCTGAGACTGTGGAACTGTTCTGAGGCCAATAGCTACGATGACATGAGGCATAATTTTGATAATTACTTAATTGACAAAATAGCCATTGACCTGAAAGATAATCTGTATTTGGTGCAGTTTCATGTCTGTACTTGAAGAGAATAAAACTAGCTGACAAAAGTGTAATTCATTATCATTTGGCATATTGAGAAGAACTCTTTGACCAACAGTAATTCTTGGAAATACCTGTATTGCACCTGCTACAGGCTCTCTGATGTAGTAATGCATTTCTGTGGCAACTCCTAAGATTTAACCCTCACATGAGGAATGAAAAAGAATGAAAACTGATTTTAACATTGCTAGACTTCTTCTGCAGTCGGTGTAAGTCTATGCCAGACAAGCATGCTTCACTTTCTGTATATGCTAGACAAGCATGCTTCACTTTTCTTATATGTCAAGTGCCTGGCATTCCTACTGATTTCATTTGAGTTTGGTCCTTCTTAAAATGCTTTTTAGAGCTGAGCAATCAAAAAATCAAGGCAGCCAAAACCCAAGTGCAATCTGAGAAATTTGTTTGTGAATGTCTTTGACTGCACCATGCAGTTACTTGCCCAGTTCCCCCTTGAAATCTTCAGTTCAGGTTTCTAATCTCTCCCATGCCAGGGTATTATAAAGGGAATCTTTTCTCAGTATTAAACCTGGCTGAAAATCCATAAATCACCTCATTATAAAGGTATGTTCATTTCAGGGGAAAATCCAAACAAGGGCAGGAACTTGGATGAGTTTTCACCTGCAGAGTGCAGCCCCAGAGAAAGTGAGATTTGGGCTGCCCGGCACTATGTACATTCAGCAGCTGAACTGTCTTCAAGTTAGCATTTTCTATGGGCTGTAAGGACCAATTTACTATATGCAGCTTAAAAACAACCAGAGCAAGTGTCTGTAACCACATAATGAAATATTTAATGATACACTAACTGGCCAGATAAGGTCTGACTCTTCTTAAAAGGCATTCAGCAAGGCCCTCTGCACTGGACAGCTCTGGATCCTCTGGAAGAGATCCAAGAAGAGGGTCAAGGAAGGTCTAATTAGATTACTTTTATATTTATTTTTTCTAACACACTTCACTGAAACCAGTCACTGCTGTGTTCAGAAGGGTGATGTGCTAAACAGCTCTCTGCCTCCTACATCGTCTGGATTAAAAATAGGGTGCGCATCAGTTCTGCTGTCTGTGCCGACAACAGAAACGTGTCAAGTTGTCACCAGCAAGGTGAGCTCTGGAGACCATCCCTGGTGTGGGATGTGCACACAAAATTTATCAGACTCCTGTCAGCCTTGGAAGTGCAGTTTGTGTTTCTGCCACAGATACTGGACAAAACAAAATAAAGGCACTCTGATTATTGACCCTGGCAACATTTAAAAGGCCAGGACCTGTTCTGCAGAGTAAGTTCAGCACTTACAAGGAATCAATTATTCACAGTTTCATTCGAGAGAGTCACCTGGGTCAGTAGTGCTCTTCATGCTAGGGATGGATTCGATTTATCCCTTCTTCCATCTGTGTGTGACATTTCAGTTTAACAGCGGAATGTTTGGGTCAAATCTTCCTAGCACCTAGACTGACACTGACACTTCATTTACATACAGTTAACATTAAAGAGAATTAACCACTGGAATCCACTCTTTGCTGACTTCTAATTCCTACAAGTGACCAAGGCTTTATTTCAGTCTTTGAGATGTTTTTCATAATCAGAAAGCTTGGGGCTTTCCTCCACTCTCCTCGAAGTCAGTAAGAAACCTCAAACTGATGCACTGAGAGTAGAACTGGGTCCTAATTTGCCTTTAATTATGGATTTCCTTAAAAACAGCATTGATCTGGAGATGTTTTTTCTTAGCTACATTTTTATGCTGATTTCTCAGTCGCTAACATATGGCACACGCCTGGAAGGCTTTGAAAAGGTCAATCTGTGTTTACATTGTGTACTTCTCTTTACAGTATTATTATTAATCAAGCTTCCTAACTTTAAAATCCAACTGAGAATATTTCATTAAGGCAGAAGTGAGTGTTTAGCTCAAGTACACAGATATAGATAATGTGGTTTATGCTCCATGTAAGGAGTTGGCCCTTTAAAAAAATCCAGTTAGGTAATGGATGTTGTCCTTGCCTTGGCTTTTCCCTGCACTGAATTGATCAATCTGGCTCCTCTTGAAATAAAAGAGAACTCAGCACATGGAGAGATTGATTGAGAAGTCCCTAAGCTGACTTTGGCTGTATTTGCTCTGTTCTTACCTGTAACTTTGCTACACCGTTACGGTTCAGAGTGGAAATAGTTTTAAACTTTTCTGCTTCAAATTGTGGCCCAGCAGCGCTGCAGACTCAATTCCCACCTGAACTGGTGCAGCGGGGCTGCTGACGCGTGGCCTTCAGGCGAGCACCGCGGTCCAATCAGTTTGCAAGATCACAGCCTAAAGCAATTAGAAAATGCAGATTAAGGGGAAAATTCTGTCACATCTGCCTGTGTGAGAACTGAATTTGTCATGAGAAAGAGCTGGATCTTGATTCCTTTCACCCCACAGCCCCCTCCGCTAAGCTTTAGGTGCCTAAAAGTTGCAAACCTAGATTTTCCACTGCACCTCACGAATTTTAAGGAGCCCAGCTGAAAGTGGGTGTTTGCTTTTGAAGGTCATTTTCAGAGGTGCAGCGGAAAAAGGGGCCGTTATCAGATGTTTTCAGCTGGGCACTGTGGGAGTGATGATCCCGGGTATCACCATTGCTTCTGATTATTTAGGCTGTAAGAATTGATCCTTCCCAATTCAGCTTTTATTAGCTTCCCTCTGAAGTTAAGCGAAGC